ATTTGGAAAAACAATTTGGGTAGTGCCCTCACCTCGTGCGTTGAATAGAATAATGAGATATTAGTCCGAATTTTTTGGTTTAACATACTTTGGAGGATCCCAAAAAAAAAAAGGTCTCCTATAGGAATATAAACCCAAAATGCCATGTTTAAAGAAATAAGTCCAAAAACTATCCTATTATGGGATTTTTTTTTAAAGTGACTTATTTTGGAAAAAACAAAAACTCCAAAATTACTATATATCTAAAAGAGGTGGGATTGTGATCTGTTACCAATCTTGTTCACCTTTATCTAATATATTTTTTTTCAATTTGTTTCAGCACTCGTTCGCTTTCTTTTTCTTTTTTTCTTTCACTTGTTTTTTTTTTCTATCAATTTATGTATTTTTTTATTTTTAGATTGTTTCATTTTGGTTTCTAAAATTTCAAAATAAAAATTTTAATCCTCTAACCGATGCAGTACTCATGCCTTTTTTTTCTTTGCTTTGTTTTATCAATTTATGTTCTTTTTTTATTTAATTAGGTGTTAAATTTTTTAAAAATCAATTATTATTTTTTTCCACATAAGTCGATGATTATATAATATATACGACCCCGATCACCTCTTTTTTTTCTTTTTTTTTTTTTGTTTCGCCATGGTTCACTTTTTTTTTCTTTTTTTTTCTTTCAAGTTATTTTGAATACATGCCTTTTCTTTTTCTTCCTCCTTTGTCTTTTTCCATCAATTTAGGTTCTTTTTATTTAATTTTTTATTTTTAGATTGTTTCATTTTGATCTCTAAAATTTTAAAATAAAAATTTTAATCCCCTAACTAATGCACTAATCATGCCTTTTTTTTTCCTTTGCTTTTTTCTCGTTAATTTATGTTCTTTTTTTTATTTGATTAGGTGTTAAATTTTTTAAAATTCAATCGTTACTTTTTTTACACAAACTGATAATTAAATAATATATTTAATATTTTTTATATGTATATGATATGTTTTTAGATTTTATTACGATATTTTTTTTTCAAGTTGCTCCACTATGCATGCCTTTTTTTTTCCTTGCTTTTTTCCTTTAATTTAGGTTATTTATTTATTTATTAAAATTTCGGATTGTTTCATTTTGGTCTCTAAATTTTTAAAATAAAAATTTTAATTCCCTAACTAATGCACTACTCATGCCTTTTTTTCCTTTGCTCTTTTTCTTTGCTTTTTTCCATCAATTTATGTTCTTTTTTTTATTTAATTAGGTGTTAAAATTTTAAAAACCAATTGTTACTTGTTCCACACAAACCGATGATTATATAACACTACTCATGACTTTTTTTTCCTTTGCTTTTTTCATCAATTTATGTTCTTTTTTTTATTTAGTTAGGTGTTACAATTTTGAAAAATCAATCATTATTTTTTTTTCCTTTGCTTTTTTCATCAATTTATGTTCTTTTTTTATTTAGTTAGGTGTTAAAATTTTGAAAAATCAATCATTACTTTTTTTTTATACAAACCGACGATTATATAATATATACGATAGTTTTTTTTTTAACATTTATCAATATGTTTTAGATTTTAGAATAAATATAAACTACTCTTATTATTTAAAATTGATTTTTTCGATAAAAATTCTCATCAAGTTAATTTTTATTCTTATTTTTTTATAATTTCATTTATTAATAAACATGACTTATTTCCTCTATGTATGGATTCAAATAAGTTTTTTTATACCTTTTTTTATTTGCTTAATTGTTATATAGTCAAATTTTAAAAATTGAGTATATGTATTGTATTTTCTTATTTTTTAATAATCAAATTTTATCGAAATCATTTTTTTAGTTTTTACTAGACTCTATTAACTTCAATATATATTTTATCATTTAATTTTTTTAAATATTTTTTAATTTATTTTATACATTCTCACCTATTGAGTACGATCATAATGTATAAAAAATAATAACATTGGAGCCATTGATTTGATTAAAAATCAACTATGCATCTACACATAATACCAACTATTTGTTATTATTTTTTAATATTTAAAATAATTTTTCATATAAAATAATTGACATAATATTTTAGAAAAATCACCAAATAATTCAGATACAATTTTTTATACTAATATTATTCATTCTTTTGTAAAAAAAATATATAAATCAAATGTATATATTTTAAAAAATAATATTCTCATCAGTAAAAACGTTTCATTTGTTAATTTTCATACAAATTTTTATATTAATTGTTGCTTTATTTTTTTTATTCAATGTAATGAAAGAAAAATATTAAGATGTTGTTTTTAAAAATTTTATATTAAAATTTGTTTATTATGGGTTTTATTTAAGAATAAATTCATAAGAACGAAGAAATCATATTTTTTTTACTTCAAAACACACACACACATAGACAATTTAATATATTTTATTTAATCAATAACATAATATATGTTATCCAACTGAAATAAATATGTTTAGTTCGGTATGCGACGTAGCACGAGAATTCAAACTATTCATATGTCTAAAATTTCTATTCACTTACTCGTTAATATACATAAAATTACTATTCACTTGATGGCAATTTAAGTTATTTTTGTGTATTTTTGGCCCTTAATATACAAATTTAATGCTTTTTTCTATTTTTCATCCCCTATGTTGTAACATTTTTTTTTCAATCTTTAGTTTTCATTTTTCTTTCATTTTCACCCATATATATATATATATATATGCACTATCTTTTTATATTTTAAAATTAACATATACTTCGTCTTATATTACTCTTATCATTTAAATTTTATTCTTTGAATTTATCATTTTTTATGAAAATTCTCAAATTAATATGTTTTATATAAAATTTTATTTATCGATAAATATACTTTTTCTTTCATTTTCACCCAGCAAATTATTTTTCTCTATGTTTGAATTTTAGAATAAAATTTTAAAACATGATTATTTTTTCTTTTTCAAAAAATAAATTGGTATAATATATATCATGACTTCTTAAAATTTTTAAATGATAGTTGCGCATATATAAATATATAATTATTTTATTCTAAAATATTAAAAGTGTATTTTAAATAATTTATCTTAATTCACTAAGTATGATCAAGACATATAAAAAAAACTATTGAATCGTTGATTTTATTAAAAATTAACTATACGTATACCAACATAATACAAATTATTTACTATGAATATTTTTTTTAACATTATATAACCAATTTATTTGAAATAAAATAATGAAAACAATTTGTTAAAGGAACCAACCAATTATTCAAATATAGTTTTTTATGCTAATTTTGTTGATTATTTTGTACATAAATACATAAATATATATATAGTTCTAATGCATATACTTGAAAAAAAATAATCTTCTCATCAACATTAAATAAGAATAAATTTTAATTTTTTCATTGGTTAATTTTTATGCAAGTCTATACATTAATTGTAACTTTATTTTTTGGATATATTCTTGTAAAAATATATAATTTTAAAGTATTTTCTTTTTAATTATTAATTAATATAAAGTTTAAATTATTACATGTTTTTATTTAAGAATCTCTGAATAAGGAAGCATAAATCATCTTTTTTTAAACAGAAATTTTATGAAAAACACAAAAATATGGTAATACTTAAATAAAAATAAAAAAAATAATAAAAATTTTAAATGATTTTGTTCTATGTGCCTATAACGTTGCACATGTAATTTCAAAAACTAATCTTTTTATTAGCATTAAATAAGAATTTTTTTTTCATTTGTTAATTTTTGCAAATGTCCGTCCGTTAATTCTATCTTTATTTTTTGAAATACAAGATTATAAAACTTATATTTTAAAATTTGTTTTTCAATTCTTGATTAATATTTTAGCTAAAATTATTATATTTTTTTATTTTAAAATCAATTCATAAAAAAGAATGATTTATGTTTTTTTTAAAGTAAAAAAATTATTAAAAAATTTAAAAAATTTTAAATTTGAAAATAATTTTGTTTCTATCGGACTTCAACGTAACGCGGGCAATTGACCGAGTGTCATCTAAGGAAGGGTTAACTTAATTATATATCAAAAAAGTAAATAACAAATTAGTCCTTTAAGTTTTATAAAATAAATTAAATAATCCCTCTTATTTCAAAAATTAATTAATTAATTCTTTAATCAAGTATTGATATAATTAATTTAATATTATATTATTTTAAAAAATGTTTTTTTTAAATTAATAATTTCATACATGTCTTGAAGCACCACTCTCTAATCTTCTTGAGAGTATATACGCCTTCTGTTACTGAATCGTATATCAAAGAAAATCTGTATCTATTGATTGGTAGCATCAAATTCTTTTTCCCCCACGCAACGAAAGAAATACCATAAATTTCTATCCATTGGCCTCATATTTCCAATTAGATAGATGAATTCCTTCATTACAGCGACATCAGTTCATATTATTTATCAAAATTTTAAAATATAAAATTAAAATAAATAAAAAAAACGAAAAAGATTAAATTATAAATAAATTTAAAAACAAAGAAACTAATTAACTAAATTTCAAAACTAGAGGTACTATTTAATTCATTTTGAAAAACTAGAGAGATTAATTTATAATTTACCCAAAAGGAAGCATCAATTGGATCATTGAAATAGAAGGAAAAGGAATCATTAACTTCGGCCGTACGTATCAAAGATATGCAATGCAATTAATTCCAAACGATTCGCATTTCCTCTGCAAGCAGGAAACTTGATAAAAACCCTTGCAATTATTTTGAAACAACCAATCAAATTTGCTCTTAACTGTAAAAGCATCAAAACCTCTTCTCTCCTTACTGCATTGGATTAACCTGGTATGGATTCAAAATTTTAAATAATAATTAGACAACATAATTATCATCATTGATTTAAACACAATTTTTTTCTGAATTGGGTTTTGGATTCTCTCCTCCGGTCTTTTAGTATCAGCATCAGTGTCTTTATCAGTTTGTCACGTTCTGACAAGCTCTACTTTTTATTGGTTTAATGTTGTCGCAGGAGGAAAAGAGCAAAAACAATGAGGGTAATAAAGGATGATGCTTCTATTCGCGTTTGTCTCTCTTCTACTGCTATATTTTATATTTCACCAGCTTTGCATGTCTTTTTCTTTGTGGTGGGCACATTGAACTTGTTGCATAGATGTCTGTTTCTCAATAAAAAAAAAAAAGGGTTTGAATTGTGATTAACATGTCTCTAAATTATAAGGTAGTCTGATAGATTGTTGTTCACTCACATAATCACAATAACTACTCCGGAAATCTGAATAAATACTCGTGCAATGCGCAAAGTTTAGATGTATTATGTTAGGTTAATGTGAGTCGAGACTTAACTCTAGGAGTTCTCTTTTAAATTAAGCTGTGAAGGAAAGAATAATCAAAAGAAAACGAAAATAAATTTTTTAAAAATGGGTGCTTCTGATATTTTTCCGCAATCTTCATTACAGTGATAATTTTTATGTTGGTGAATTGCTGGCTTTCGAAATTTATGGCATTTTGTATGCCGGGTGGTTGCTTACCAATTGCTAAATTTGTTTTGATTTGTACTGCAATGCACAGGGACTGAAATTCGATGTGGATGACATGAATGTGAAAATGGCAAACCAAGACCAAACCAAAATACTTTACATCAAACAGCAGCTGGCCACCATAGATCACACTCCACATCACCCAGTTTACCCTTTTGTATGCTCTCTTTTCCTTTTATGTCTGCTTCTCTGGATTTTTCTTTTTTTTTTTTTTTTTTTAGTACCAATGAGTCTTTAGTGTAGCAGCACTCTTCCTTACAAAGCAAGGGGAGGTGTAGCAGTGTGAGGGTCTGGTTTGAGTCCTACTCTTGTTATATTCGGTTATTCTGGAAGAACAAAAGAAAGAATGAAATTGTCATTGATTAGTTTCCTATGTGATTTTATTCATACAGATGATACAGGAGGCAATTATGGATTTAAATGAAGAAGGGGGATCAACCAAGAATTCAATATCACAGTTTATCACGAGAAAGTATGATGTTTCTCAGGTTGTTCATGCGGCTAAATTAATTGAGCAATTAGAGAAACTTGTGAAGAAAGAAGAGATAGTTTTTACTCCTGAAAACCGTTTTATGCTTCCAGCTGTGGATAGTTACCCTCCTGAGTTAAACCAGGGAAAGAGGCAGTTGGCGCATTGTAAACAGGACAGGAGAAATAATAAGATGCAAAAGGTCTATGAAAGAATTGACGTACAGGGAGATCGGAATGCAATTATGGAAGTAGAAGATCAACCTGAAAGTAATAAAAAGAATGAACCACGAGCACTTCAAAGTGAAGGCATTGAAAACCAGGACCATTTACAAGAAGACCGGGTCATGTCATCTGAGGAAGAGAGGCTCGAGATGACAGCTGAAAAAATTTCTCAAGTCATTCAAGGACAGTCGAGATTGATTGAAGAAGAAAAATATAGGCAGCTCGCCGAAGGAGTAGATGAGGGAAGACATGGTAAAGAACAAATCCAAGTGAGTGGAAACAAGGCAGCTGGAGAACGAAGTCAATTACAACTAGAAGAAGTCCAAGTAACTGAAGTTCAAGTGGGAGCTGAACGTCAAAGTAAAGTAACTGAAGATCTCAATAATGTTGAACATCTGGAAAATGAAGGAATTAACAGCGAAGCTGGACCTCAAAGTTCACAAGATTTGTATGCTGAGGAACATCCTCATTTAGAGCAAACACATATAAGAACCATTGATATGAAGATTGAAACACGAGGGAAAGAAATTGAAGTGATTGGGGAGCGAAAGACGTTGCAAGAAAAAGATAATGAAGTGGGGAACAATGCTACAGAAATTAGGTTTGCTCTGTTCTTAGTTTTCAACATTGTTTCTTTCTGTCTTTCTTGTTAATTTATTCTTATCTGTGCTCCTTTACTGATTAAATAACAGCCATACACCGGAATCTTATGTTGAGAAACCTGAAGATGAAGCCACGATCACTATGCCAAGTTCTTCTCAGACAAGTCAACAGTTGGACCATCCTGGATCGTCACTGTTATTACATACTATGAAGGTAAATGATGAAAATTGGACTTAGTTACTCACAAGTTGAACTTGTAAGATATTAATTTGTAAAACTCCCTTTATTCTGTCTGATGAACAACATTTTAACTGCTTGTTTGATTTACTTTGATCGATAGGAGAAGTGCATAAATGTGTGGAGGAAGTTAAAAGAAACTGAGCATGAGCTGATGGAAGTTTTTAGTTGTTTGAATTCAATGGAAGGGTCACATAATAATGGTTTCCTTCCAATTACGAGAGAAGTACTAGCCAAATGTGAATCAGAGCCTAAAGCATTGCTAAATTCCAATTATCTACCCATCGGTTCAGTGCAGCTAGGGCAGAATCAGAAAATTGAGCTGCCTGAACTTAAAAAAACTGTAGATGTTGAAATAACAGCATTGCAGGAATCTTTTCAAAAACAGAAAAGGCAGCCTTTGCCTGGCAATTATGAAGGGGCGCTCAAATATCAGCCAGAATCAATTGGTATTTCTCCCGCTCTGCAAATCATGGACCCACAGCAACTTCAGGTGGAGAAACATCAAGATTTTCCTAGTTTCAAAGGCCATTTAGAACTTTCTGGCCAAGAAAAGTGGTCCAAGTCTTGTCCAGTTGCAGGTTCTTCAAATGCACACACGGAATCACAGGAGCTGAATCTGGAGCAGCAATCAGAGCATCACAGGACAGCTGTAGAGGATCTTCATACTTCCGTCAATATGGAGCATGTTGAGCTGGAGCAGCAATCAGATGTCCCTGGGCTGAAAATGTCATTGGAGAAAAACTTGTCTATTTTGGAGGATGACTTAACTATAGATACAAACCAGGTTGAGCCTAAGAGGCCTCCAGGGTTTAAGCTTGCAGTGGAGCAATTGTCTCATGAACAGCTGCAGTGTGTTGTTCCTTGTGGTGATGCAAAGAAACTTGATTCTGTGGTAGGAACAGTGATACGCTCATTTTATCTTTTACTGCTCATGTGTTTTCTTAGGCCTTCAATTCCTTTGCTGTGATTTATTATAAATGGAGATGATATGAAACAGACTGAATATAGAACCGATTACATATTCTGAACGGCATTAAATATAGAATACCATAGAACCTACTGTTCAATAGATATGTCTAAATTGATTGTATGGCTATGTACTCTATGCAGCTCGTTAAAGACCAGAAACTTGAACTGTCGATCGAAGAAAGACCTATAGAGGTTCAAATGACCACTGCAGAGGAACAAATCCAGACAAAACAGCATACGCAAGGGAAAGAATTACATCCTCAGGACCAAAGGGCATCCAAATCTGAATCAGTTAATGCTGGAGTTACTTATGATCGGCAAATTCGTAACACTGAAATGCTTCAAGATCTAAAACAAATTTTTGTGGTAGATGAATCATCCCGATTGATGAATCAGAACAAGAAGGGTGATTGTAGCAAGCTAAGGAAAATAGAAGTGGAGCTGCCCCGTAGGCAACAACGGCCTCGTGGCTCAAAGGCATCTGAATCTAATCAAGCACATTCAACAAATGCAAATGATCATGATCTGACCCTTTCTTCCATAAAGTTAGACAGGCAACAGAAACTAGATCACCCCATCAACAGAAGACCTCAAAAGCAAAAACCAACAGAAGTGGAGAAATTATCTCAATCAGTGGAGCAAGAAGTGAAACATTGTGGCAACCAAAAGTATCTCATATCCCTGCTAGCACCAATAACATCTGGTGATGTCCAAATGATAGAAAATCCAAGACAGGACGAACCAACAACAGCAGGGGATTTTATTCAAACTCAGCAGCAGCTGCAACAGCAACAGCAACCACAGAATTGGCAACTACAGCCTCAAGTGCAATGCTCTTCCCAAGTTGAACAGGCAATGGATAAAACCATGGAAGAATCGCTGCCCTTACAGAATCAAAATGAACAGAATAGTCTACTGACATATCAACATCAAGGAAGACCTATTAAGCTAAAGCCTGATGTGGATGCTGCTGGGGAAATTTTACCTGTAGATGGTGAAGACAGTCACGAGGAGCTGCTGTCTCAGATTGAAGGCCAAAGGCCTAAAGCCAATCCTAGTACAGAGCTCACAGTAAGAAAACTATCCTCAGACCATCAGACCCACAATGAGCAACAACCCACGAAACGTGGCCCAGGAAGGCCACCTAGATTAACTTCAGCTGCACTTCAAACTTTCACTGTAACATGGCCTCCACAGTATCAGCATAAGCAGAAAAGGCAGAAGCTTAATCATCAGCAGAAGCAAAAATGGCCAAATGGTACAGGCCAAGGGAGGGTTACAAGATCCAGAGCAGCATCAAATGCAGAAACTATTTCACAATTACCTCCACACGATGAAACAGCAGCAGCGTACACCACATGTCAAGAAGAGAAGCCTCAGAAGCACAATAGTGATGGTAACAACCAAAGGGAAGGCTTTCAAAACCTTAATGAGGGATTTTAGAGGGCATGGTAATGATTTTTTTTTGGTTCAAGTTTTTTAGTAGCATTAAGTCGATTATTATTATTTTTTTTAGCGTTTTCAGTCAATAGTTTTCTATTTTTTGAACATGGATAAGAAACATTATACCACTTCTTTCTGCTCTATCTTTTGACTTATTCTGGCCATCCTAGTTCAAATCCTTTTTCTCCTTTTGCTTACAAAATCATAGCTTGTAAAGTTGTGGTTCGTGAAGTGTATCTAATTGCATGACCAAGTCTTCTGTTAAGCTTTATCATAATTTAGTCAAGAAGTGAGATCAGATGTCTTCCCTATAGAAATATGAAGAATAGCGATCATCTAATTGCTCTTTCATCTCAAATCTGCTATTTGTGTATATATATATATATATATTTTATTTTTTCTAAGGTTGTATTTTTTTCCTTCCTCTCTCGTATCCTGAGAAATCTTAACATCTTCGACAGGTTGGTTGTGATTTTATCGTCATTGTTCTGCCTTTCTCCGAAAAAATGATAATGATTAAAGCCAACAGTAGCAATGCCTTCAAACTACCTATAACAAGATAGGCCTAGAAGGATAATTAAGCAGCAAATTTACTGGCTTGTCTGGGATTGTATTGGCTGTCTGTTCATTTGCAGGGGTTGCTGAATTATATTGTATCTGCTGCGTTGGTTTGGAATAGTTTGACAAATTCGAAGCTTTTAGGTCTTCTTCATTCTCTTGCTCTTGTGATTACCCTAGCAAAGCGTGATTAGTTACTGGTTTGAAGGATAATCTGTAGATTAGTCTCTACCAGTTGTTATTTTTTTCTTCCCTTGCTTTATAATGTCCATTGAACCTGCTCTGAACAATCGACCTTTTGCTGGATTATTCCGTTTGATCCTTTTGCTGCCGCAAGCCTGGCAAATCGTGAATGTTTGAAATCCATAGCATGCAAGGAGACATTGCTTTTGCTAATTTGAATTGAAGGGTGATATAAAGCCTGATTCGCAGCATTATGCTTAATAAAAGGACTGAGGAAAGCTCCAACAGAAAAATATTTGTAGAAGGAAAAACTTCGAAGGACGTGCCAATTTGTCAACCTATTGACTCGAAATGGAAGCAGTTTTTTTTTTTTTTTAATAACCATCTCACCTTGAAAACAAGAGAAAAAGGTATTGGTATTAGGTATCAAACAAAAACAAATGTTGTGTGCTAACATTAGCAAGGTTGTGCATTTGGATTGTTAATGCATGCCTAGTAGCTTAAATGAGTTAAAAACTTCATGCCTAGTAGCTTAAATGAGTTAAAAACTTATTTTTGATTCTTAATGAGTTTTCCTTTTCCAATTCTGCAGTATGATACTACTCGCAGTTTGTAGATTTTTTTGAGCTGCGATGCTGAACATAAAGAACTTTCAAATGGGGAATTTTGCTTGATTTGACAGCTCGAAAAAGGATAAGCCGCGGTGATGCTTTTCTTTTGCCATTTTTTTCCCCTGGTCTTATAGACATTCAACAGAATTGGAGAAGGAAGTTTAGATACATTAAGAGCCGTTACTTTCAAGAATGATCCTATTCATAATCTATATACGAGGTTAATTCATCTGGATATGTGAATTGGTGATTTGATAAAATTTATTATTAAAATCTAAGTTGGATTGTATTCCAAAAGTACTGAGCAATGCGTGCCGTAGAAGAAATAAACGCATACATAATAAGATTGAAGAAAAAACAGATGAGGATGTTGTGATCTTTGGGTGAGTTCAGAACCGCAACATTCATGTTATATCTATGGAGTCTGTAGACTGAGATTGAAGTAATCGTAGAGTTATGATAAATCAATTGTGAAATTAAAATTTTTGGAAGATCAAGGGTCTAAGTGAAACTTGTATGATAGTTGGAGAATTTGTAAGTAAATGATCCTTTTAAAAAAATTCACTAAAAGGTTTATGAAATCCCAGACTAAACAGCAGGTGCATCCTTTTCTTTCTTCATTCATCCCATTTCAGATGCAAATGAAGTTCATTCATGCGATCCATACCACATTTACTAACGAAATGAATTCAGAAAAACGGCTAAAAAACATATTTTAGTCTCTTAGAGGAGTTTTTCCATCTAATTAAACTAATTATTATTATTATTCTCACAAAATTTTCGAACTATAAAAGGTTAAATTTTTTATGCGGTTAGAACTTCTATTCATTCCCTTTCCCCCATATTTTAGGTTGCTGAGATGTATAATGCTCGAAGGAATCTGAACATTTGATTTTTATAATTAAGCGGAGTGTAAAATGTTTATATTTTGAGCATCGTGTATTACAAAAATGATACCTATCAGGTTCACAATATTTAAATAACATAGCAAATTCAGTAGTTTTCACAGCAAAGCATGGTCAACTTTTTTTCAGAATACACCATTCCGAGGAAAAGTACTCCCCATTACTACAACAAAAAGAAGGTAGGAAAGCAAAACAAAACAAGCATTAATCAACTTAGGCTCTAAATATAGTAACTTGTAGCTCAAGAGCAGTCCCCTCTAACACTTCAAAGATGCAAATATCACCTATCTTGAGAGAATTGCTTTTCGCAAATGCCCTCCAACCCTCTCGTAACCTTAGATGGTGTCCTGAGGGTGTCAATTTCACTGACCAGGTTTTTTTTGAAATCCTAAGTGTTACATTCTGTTTTGCCCCTTTAGTGAACTCCATCAAGTACCTTTTTGGTAGATTCTGCACAATGTAATAAATGGTTTGATGTTATCATAACGAAAATCAATCAATGGTGAAAATGATGAAAGCAGTAATGAACGTAACATCCAAGTTCTTGCCTTGTAAATTATTAGCTAAAGATTCCACTTTAAATTAACTTGTCAAACAATTTCAATGGAAACATCAGGTTAGGTTCAGGATCGAAGCTTACCAAAAAACCATGTTGCAAATAAGATTTTTGCATACGAACTTGAAACGATGGATGCTTAGAGACAAATTCAATGGCTTCGAAAGCCCGAGATTTTTCTTGACTTTCCTTTCGACACAGACTCTGCTGCTGATCTTGTAAGCTACTCGTGCTAATTTCATGTTCAATGTCACTATCAGAGTCCACGCCAATCGGTTTAACATTCGTGCCACACTTCTTATCCTTCCTGACTGGTTGATCAACCTCATTTTGATTTCCTTCAGAGGAAGGAGATTTTGTTTTCTTTTCATCTGCAGCAACCGCATTCTTTTCACAACAATCTTTTCCATATACGGTGACATCAAAGTCTGAAATCCCAGAGCATGAAAAAATTAGAAAGTCTCCAAGCTCTAGAGCATTATCTTGCACAAATTCCCTCCAACCTTCTGTAAGACACAGAATGTTCTGATTCCTTTCAATGCGAACATACCAGCAGTCCCCTGCAGAATTCCGGACTCGAAACGTTTGATTCAGATTACTCTCAAGATGCTTTGCAAACTTCGGTGGGATCCTCTATAACAAAAGGAAATCCACGTTATCAATATAAAAGAAATATTTTTTCTACCAGTTTTGGTGAATAATGATCCAAATTTTGGCTCGAATAATCTAAAATTGCATCATATAAATTCAACAATTCGTTTTTCTGTGTTCTCTGTTTTCACATATATGAAAGCCAGTCATCCAATGCTTCATTATTCTTATCTAAATGGAGGCTAATCACTTTTTTCTTCTTCAAAATATCTATTTACAAACTACATAAAATCCTGTATAACGTAAAACTTCTTAAATCAATATCCTATCACTATTTTATTTTAACTATCGCAAACCTTATGGCTATAAATGGTTTGAAATAAGCTAATAAAATCGACCCTACAAAAATCTTCAAAAAATGAAAATGCATCAAGTTTATCAAATAATTTAGTTGGATCCTCAATTATTTTCTTGCCTGTCTCTCTTTCTATATATATATATATAACAGACAATTCACCCAAAATATTGAATAAAGTAAAAGACAACTAAACAAGCATACAATGTTATCATTATCCTTTGAACAACAAGTATATATACTACAAGATTAGTGTAATTTTTTCCAAAAGTACAAGCAATCTTCAAGGTTTTGCTGGAAATCTAAGAGGTCGTTTGGTCTTGATGGGTGTCTTTATTATCTTAAACAAGGGATTCTCGTTGTGTCAAGTTGTAGCTAAGCGGTGAATGTGCAATGTACAACAACGAAACCTAAGCCTCCGACCCATAAAAGACAGTCTAATTTCACCTATCGCAAGCTTAGTCAATTATTATTTTCATTGAAATAAACTCCAAAACAAGAACAACTTAAGAGAGCTAAAGGTCGCTAATTATCTATTAATTAGAAAAACATCGACGTCCCGATTATAACTCTTATCCTACGCCAAAAACAAGTTTCAAGGACCAAATAAATACAAGATATTGGCTTCCAAGAAAGACAAAAGAATATTTTAATCGCAAAAGATAAAAAAGATTACCAACTGGCTAGAGAAGTCGCCAATTAAGACCTTGAAGAAGGAAGGCAGTCTTTCTTTTCTTCTTGTTGAACTTTGTGGCTCAATTCTAGCCATTGGAGTAGTACTAGTAATAATATAGTTTTTACAGGGTTGCACTAATCCTTACTGTTACTCGAGATTTGGAGAAGGCAAAAAATATAAAACCCTTGCTCTATCTCTCTTTTTTATTTTTTTTTTAATGGAGAGTACGTCGTAGTTAAAGAGCAAATTACAAATTAGTTCTTTTAGTGCTGAGAATGAATTAACTAATCTCTCTTGTTTTGAAAAAATATATTTTTTAATATATATATAATTTTTTTAATTTTTTAATTTATTTTAATTTTTTATTTTAAGAAATAGAAAAAAGTAAAAAAGACAGAAAAATTAATGAAAAAAATAACAATTTTTAAAATAAAATAATATTAAATTAAACATGATCAATTCTTATTAAAAGATTAAATAATTAAATTTTAAAATAAAAAAATTAATTGATTTATTTTTTAAAAAATAGGACTAATATAAAATTTACTCGTTGTTTAAATAATTGTTCGTGTGACGTGCAGTACAACAGTTAGGTTTGGCTTTGTCTCTCTTCTTTCTTTCCTATTTTCATTACCTATGTCACGGGCTTAATGCCCGGTAATGGGTTTCGGCCCGTTTACTGTGTATTAATCTAAGTTTAAGATCCAATCCATGAATAACATTAGTATAACCTATTAAAAAATTAAATGAAAAACAAAAAAGTTAGAAAATGATTAAATAGGAATATATACTAAATTGGAAAAGAAAGGAGATTGAAGCTCAAACAGTGAGTGTTTGCTAGTGCAAGTGGCGATGAATAAAAGGAAAAAAAAAATTTTTCTTGTTTTGTCTACTGCCAGGCCAGGAGAGGGAGACATACGCACGCACACAAACTGTTTTTCTTGTGGGGTGATCCAGTGTGTGTAGAGTGAAACAAACGGAGAAAATAAAGTATTTTCTAACATTATCTTGAATATTACAATCATACAAAATTATCCAATACTCAAAGTGATGATATCATATAATATTGAGATTTATAAAAATACATAGATTTCATAAATCATAAGTTTTCATGATGAAAGGATTTAACTAGAGAATTGCAGAGTTCATGAAAAAACTTGAATGATTATATTGTTATTATTATTATTATTATTGTTATTATAGTGGATTATTTTGAAGTTGCTCCCATATTTTTTTCTTCTACTATAAATAGAGTTTTTTTTTTTTTTTACATAAATTTGGTATTCTTATGGTTGTACTCTTGTGATTGATTTATTTTATGCTTTTAATTATTATGTGTATTTAGGTTTATTGTCTTCTTATAGAATCTAATTTACACAAAATGGGATTAAATTCTCAATAATTGTATTAGAGTTTTAGTTGGAATATTTATGTAAATCAAATGGAGAAAAATAATTCAAGCACCATGTTGAAACTAAAGGTTTCGAATTATTCGATTTAAAAGCTAAGGATGAATGATTTTCTTTATCACCATAATTTATTTGATCGAATTGAATTAGGTAAAGCCAAGCCGAAGAAAATACCGATAATACTTAGAAAAAAGAGCATAGAAAAGCTATTAGAACTATCATAGTGAGTGGATGATAGTAGTGTTTCATCACCTATCTAAAGATACACATGCCAAAGAACTATGAAAGATTGTACAAAATAAATTTTGTTTGATTAGAGAGCTTGTGAATTTAAAATACGGAGATGGAATGTCTATTGATGAACGCTTAAGTGACTTTCAAGATTTGATTAATCTAATGAGTTACAAACACTATATAGAACTTTTCTAAAATTATGGTGTAGACAAAAAGCTCAAGTGAATGAAGAAGGAATTAGCAAAGAAGTCTTGCATTACTTTTACAAAGGAGATTGCCACATAGGAAGGAGTATTGAATAAAGAATATAGAATCAATACTGATCCAATAATTGATAATGATAATGATATGAATACGAAAAGTGTTGAGCAAGGGAGTAGGACCTTCCATTTCATAGTGTGGAGTTTCGGATAAGTAGATGTATCTATCAATATCACTTTTTTACTAAAAAAATCTATTTTTAATAATGTATTTTTTTATGGATGAGGAGGAGCTAAATAACTTTCGTAATATTCGACTTATGACAAGAGTCAAGAATCAAAGTTTAGTGATTAACGATATTATTGGCTTTACGGGGTAATAGAAAAATTATTGATGATAATGAGAATGATTCTTCAAGATAAAAATCTTGTTAATATGTTGATAAAATTAAAAAGTCCCGAGAAGAAATTATATTTGCCAGTTTGGACAGACATAAATTCTAGATAGTAAGTCGAGATTTCTCCTTAGGATGAGGAGATCTATTTCGTGTATGCTTAAGATTCAGCCTATAAGTAACGTTATTATAATTCATTAAAAAATTAATTTGAAAAACACTAAATTGGAAAAGAAAGGAAATTAAAGGCCAAATCGTAAGTGTGTGCTACCGCAAGTGGTCGTGAATTAAGAAAAAGAAAAATAATAGTTTTTTCTTGTTTTGTTTACTATAGGCCAACACACATAACACACACACACACACACATAAATATAAAAGAGAAGAACAAGAAGGATTTGAGGAAAAAAGAAAGACAAATCACTAGTGATAATAAAATTGTCAAGCTAAGAAATATAGTTGTTGATTAAGGCAAATTATATGATGTGTGTTTTTGTTAATTGTCTATATATAAAAGAGAAGAACAAGAAGGATTTGAGCAAAATAGGAAGACAAATCACGAGTAATAATACAATTGTCAAGTCAAGAAATGTAGTTGTTGATTGAGACAAATCATATGATGTGCATTTTTGTTAATCGTCTCAAATCATATTATCTCTAAAATCTAATAGAAATTTTATTGTAGTGTTAGTAAAAGAGAGCATTTGGTTTTCGAGTGTAGGTTTTTAATGTTTTTGTTTGATTTTTGATTAACTAAACTTACCAAAAGAAAAAAAAACAAACAAACAAACTCGAATTACAAGTCAATTTTTTCTAACTAATATTTTTTAAAAGTATATATTTTTTAAAATATAAATATGCAAAAAATATTGTGTCATAAACTATGAAGTCCTTCTTCTAGTTTAAATGGTGTAAATCGATCCATATGAAAGATAATAAATATTTATTTAAATAAAACTAAAACACAAAATCATAACTCATAATAAGGTATAAAAAATTTAATACAAACCTACTAATCCACATCTAAATATATATAATGATAAAAAATCATTGATTTTTCAAACATGTTGTAAACCGAACTACTAAAATTCAAATCATAATCAAAAGTTCAAACATGTTCTAAGAAAAGAAATGGTTTTTAGGGAAAACCAAATCAAAAATTTTAAAAACCAAACAAAATAACAAAATAAATTCACTTCAATTTGGTTTGGTTTTAAAAAAATACCATTCAACCTTAAGTTTCAAGATACATAATAAAAAGAGAATTGGAGATAGAAGAAAATCTTCAATTGGTGAATATCATATTAGGAAACGAATCAAGCAAAATAATAGAGTAGAAAGATAAAAATAATCACACAACACGAGAGATTTATGTGATTCGACAATTCCGCTCGCTTTACGGTTGTACTCAAATTTTTTATTAGGTTTTATCAAGTGACGGCTATAAATACAAGTAATGTTGCTTCTATTTATAGTGTGGACAACTAGGGCTATAAGGAAAAAGGCCTAAGGGCCTTATATACCTAGCTTAATATTTTGTAGATCTTTAGTGAGACTCGTCGTATGCGTAGTGCCTTATATTACGAACCCCTATCCATATCAATCTCTACAACTTAACAATCTCCTACTTGGAGACCGATCTCTAAATAGCACTAAACCTCTTATAACTTTCCGTTTTCTCAACCAACTTTAAGTCCTTCTAGTGTAGTATCTTCTCATCATTAATTATGAAGGTCGACTGAAGCAAAGCAAGGCCTTAGCTTATCAATGATAACTCGTCCCGGTCAACATATCAATTGGATTCTCAAATCCCAAAATCTTGTTCAAACATATTAAGCTACCATCCAACAACTCTCGGATATAATGATACTTTAGCTGAATATGTTTGGTTCTTGCATGAAAGACTAGATTCTTGACAAGATGAATTACACTCTAACTATTACTAAAAAGCTTATTATCATCATATGCCTTACCCATTTCCTTCAGAAAGTTCTTCAACCAAACTATTTCTTTACTAGCTTCTATATAATTAGCTTCAATGATGAAAAGAGCAATACACTTCGAAGTCGAGACACCCAACTTACAACGAGTACCACCCAAAGTAAAGATATAACCTATTATACTCTTTCTATTATCTAAATCACCACTTAAATTTGTATCAATAAATCTTTATAGAACAGTGTTAATCTTCTTAAAACAAAGAGCCATACTCGAAGTACCTTTCGGAAAATGAAGAATCCACTTTACTCATTCGTAATGCTTCTTTCTTGGATTTGTCATGTACATACTAACAATTTCCACTACATAAGCTATATTAGGTCTTGTGCAAATCATAGCATACATTGGGCTTCCAATGGTCAATGTATAAAGGATTGTAGAAATTTCCTTTTGCTCTCAAACTATCTTTGGAGACTACTTCTTTGAACGCCCGAGATAGCTTCCCAAACGAGCATTTCGATCTTCCCATCCTAAAGGTTGAATCCGCTTAGTACTTTTAAAATACACTTTTCCCGAGATAAATTCAATATACCTTTTGATCCATCTTTATTGATTTTTATCCCAAATATTTATTATAATGGTTCAAAGTCCTTTATCTCAAATTGTTCTACTAACTGTTGCTTGAGCCTATTCATCAATTTCAAGTTAGATCTTGTAACAAATATACCATCAACATACAAGAGCAAAATAAAATAACAATCATCAAAACTTTTAGTATAACAACAATGATCCATCTTGCATCTCTTGAAACTATTATCACAAATGAACCTATCAAACTTCTTGTACCATTATTTAGGAGCTTGTTTCAAATCATACAAACTTTTTTATAGTTTACATATTAGTTTCTCCTTCTTTGGAAC